GGGGTCTTCACGCATGACTTCTAAAAGCAACTGAGAGACACAACTCATTTATTTCATTTTATTCTTAGCTGTGATGGCGTATCTTTGTTTAAAATGTTTATTTATTTATTCATTATTTATTTATTCACTTTACATCCTGATCCCCTCCCCCCTCTCCTCTGGGTCCCATCATTCCTCTCTTTCCTCCCCTCCCCTATTCCTCAGAAAAGGGAAATCCCCCATCCCATGCTTACACCCCTCCCCCCAGCACACCAAGTCACATTAGGACTGAGCACATCCTTTTCCCCTGTGGCCTGTAACTTTTGACCCACAGTTATGGCAAGATTTCCAGGTGAGATGTACAGAGAGCTTTTGAGTGGAGTAATTTCCTCCTCACTCTTAGGAATTAGTGTTCTATTAAATTGTTCTTCTGGTAAATGTGTCTATTTTGTTAAAATATCCCATTTCCTTAGTTTTCCACCTTTTCCATGATAAAATAGTATCTTGAAGGTCCTACTACTTTTTAGGCTTGATATGTTTTCCTTCTCATTTTGTTTCCTGATTACTTTAGAATCCAGGTAGGCAGCTGTGTCCTTCACCAGCCGTGTAGGCTATTTCCAGAGAAGATGTTGATTACAGGTGAGCAGAAGAAAATACTTGCACTGACTCCCACAAGATAATACTTAAGAAGTAAGAAACCTGATCGAGGAACAGGCTGGTAGATGTTATGGTTGGACTGTGCTGGAGACACAGCCCTCCGATGTGGTAAGGCTGGGCAGTGGGGCTGGAAAACGTTGGAATCGTGTTGGGACCGAGAGTCGGCTTTGCAGAATTGAGTTAGTGGCTGCGCGTGTGTGCTGTGGTAAACACGTAAATGTTCTTGCTCTCTTCGTCCCTCCTCATGCCCTTTACCTCCGACCATAAAATGACAGCAGCTCAAAGGCCTTCAGCAGTGCCAGCAGGGTGCTCCCCCTTGGCTCTCCCAGTGCCCTAAACCATGAGCAGAAAACATTTCCATTGTAAACTGAGAAGTCCCAGAACAGAAAAAGCCTCAGCCTGTTTTAAAATTCTGCAACATCAAATGCCCAATGATGCAGAGCTAAAATGCTGCACACCAAAGCCTGATTCTTTTCAGTCGGCTTGAAAACCATTTACTGCCCTCTCTTGTATCTGACCTAACAATCTCTTGACTCTCAGAACTTAAAAAGCTTGTGTGTGTGTGTGTGTGTGTGTGCATATTCACCAGGGTGCACGTGTGTGCAGGTATACATGTAAGTGTGATCACCTATGGGCCAGGGGACAACCTATAATGCCATTTCTCCAACGCTCTTGGCCTCGTGTTTTGAGACAGGCTCTCTCACTGCCATGGGGCTAAGCTGGCTGATCAGCGAGCTGCAGGGACCCTCCTGCTCTCCAGCACGGGGTTACAACATGTGTCATCATGCCAAGTGTTTTTGTGTCACGGGTTCTGGGAACTCAACTCATGTGCTCATGCTTGTGTGGTAAGAAATTTACCGACTGAGCTATCCACGAAGCCTTGGGCGCTGTGTGAACCTTCGCAGCATTGTCCTGAGACAAATCATGAACAAATACCTTCCTTGCGGATGCTCAGGTCTTCTACTGTTGGGAATCAGAGTGGGACTCTCCTGGCATGCCTTGGTATTTACGAACTCTGAGGTTTCTCACATTGAAGCTATGGTTATCCCGAGTGGGTGTCCATGTCCCAAAGAGCCTTAACTGTGGTTTCCAGAGCTGCTCAGGACATCTCCCAAGGCTGCCTGGTGAACCCTGGTGTTTAGTCAGTCCTGCTGTAGATGCTTAATAAATATGGGGCTTCAAATCTGACTGCTGTGGAGAAGCAGGACATTAATGAACATCAATGAACATTAAGCTCGTATTTAGCAAACAGTGCTCTTTTGCTGGAGTAAACGAAATCCCTTACATTTAGTTAATGGCATGTATTTAAAACTGAAGTTAATCTAAGCTAGAAAAATGATGGTTCTACCTCAGCATTGGAGGTCAATCTCACAATAGACTTTTACAAAATTTGTGAAAACTGGTGTGGTAGAGTTGACCTCACTAAATGTTCTCCAACTTTTTCTGACTTTCACACCGGTCTCTCTGGAAGCTTCCGGTTATTTCTTTATGGCTTTATATTTGTTGACTTGTTTAAGAAAGCATTTCTGGAGAATGTGGCAGGAGACACATTTTACTTAAGGGGAATACAAGCAAGCCCCGATGGTGATATTTTTGTGGGCATCAGTGCCTGGAACAGAAAGCTCTTTGATTTTTCTTTTAATCAAGGGAAGCAGAATTAGCCACAGTAGTAACTCAGAGTTCCTGGGTATTTAGTACTGTGCTTTACCATATGGGATTACTGGTCTTGATTGCCAGTTTGATGGCATTTGGAACCACCATGGAAAACAACTTCTGGCATATCTGTAATGGATTTTTCTAGATGAGGTTATCTGCGGTGGCAGACCCACCTTAAACACGGGGGACATCACTGCCTGGGATGAGGCCTTGAACCACACACAAACAAGACTGGGAGGTGAGCAGAAGTATTTGCCTCTGGTTCCTGACTGAATAAACAAGGGCATCAGCTGCCTCCTGCCACTGACACCATGCTGGATTCTATCCTTCTGAACTGTAAGATATTTTTTTCCCCTTTAAGTTGCTTTTGTCAGATAATTCATCATGGCTTTCTCTCATGATGAGAGCAGCTGTCTTCTCACATACCTGGAAATTCAGAAGTCTGAGCAGAGACAGCAATCATGGTCTATGGTACCCAGTAAGTAAATCCCTGTGGGAGGAAAAGTTGAGCTACAGAGATGGAAAAGAACACATAGAGAGAAATGAAGGAAATGAGTGAGCACGGCGCTGCATGGCCATTTATTCTGTAAGTGGCGATCTCCTGAACTCTTAAAGGAAAGTCTTAACCACAGAGCAGAATCAGAGTGACCAGGGAACGATAGTCATGCAGAAATGAAAGGCAATGGCCTGGGAGGCGCCCAGGAGAGGGCAACTATGTAGCATTGTTTTGTGATATTACTAAGTTGGAAGAGTTTAGAGAAAAGAAAGAATAGCTTACAAGTGGGAAGGAGGAATAGACAGTGTGAGACCTGACTTCAAATATGATTACTGTGGAGATGTGTTACTCCCCTTGTGTAGATAAGCTCCAGGGTCATGAGAGAATGACTGTTTCCTAAAGGATTTCAGGGAAGTGGTGTCTTCATGGGGAACTAAGTTTTGTTCCTCAGAAACGGGAATGAGCATTCACAGAAAAGGGGATGACATTGGAAGATATTTCTGGTGATCAATGGCCAGCTACAAAGGTCACACAGAAGGATTCCTGGAAATATATATGAAAGGAGTTGGGAAGAGCAAAAAGAAAATGATCAAGGCAAAATCTCCAAGAGATGAGAAACTGAGAGATAACTGAGGGATGATTGGGGATCAGGTTAGTCCAGACAACCCAGGAGGGGAAAAATGTGAGTTTAAGTATCTCATACACATAAAAAGTTCTGTGCTGGGGGCAGAGTGTGTGCACTTCAAAAGCTACACTTGATCTGTCACAAATCCCAGGAAAGTGCCTATCTCTACCTCTTCAGGGTTAGGATTACGAATAGATGCTTCTGTGCCTGGCTTGTTTTCTCTGGGACCTATTTTAGGTCCTCACGTTTACCAGGCGACATCTCACTGATGATGGTATCTACTCAGCTCCTAATCAATGGTGTTTTAAATGTGTGTATGTGGGGTGGGGAGAGGGTGAGAGAGGGAGAGGGAGGGAGGGAGAGGGAGAATGAGGAAGAGGGAGAGAGAGAGAGAGAGAGAGAGAGAGAGAGAGAGAGAGAGATTTCTATGATCATGACAATTCATATGAGGATTTTATTTTGGCTTTTGGTTCCAGGGAGATCAGAGTCCATCACAGCAGCACAGCACAGCAGTGATGGCAGACATGACAGAAGCAGTCCGAAGCTGAGACCAGACCTTGAAACTCAAGTGCTCCTTCCCACAAGGTGACACTCCTAAACCTCTCCAATCAGTGCCATCAAGTGGGGACCAAGCATTCAAACACAGAAGCCTAAGAGGGACGTTTTTCGTTGAAACCACAGCAGATTTTCCTAGGGTAGAAATGATAGGCAGTTGAAGCTAGTGATGTGAGTCCCGGGAACTGATCTCAGCTCTTCTGCAAGAGCAGTATGTACAACCGAGCAATCTCCCTAGAATTTAGTCAATCTATATCAACAGCAAATTGTTCTCAACATAGATTATTACATAAAGTATGTGTTAAAATTGTTAAAAATTTGCTACGTATTATACTTTCCTGTCGGCCAAGGTTCCATCTTTTCATTGCTAGGATGTTTCTTTGAAGGCATTGTTTATTTGCTTTATACATAAGGGTCTTACCTGACCCTGGAACTCACTGTGTAGACTGAACTGATCTTGAACTTGTGTAGCCCTCCTGCTTTTGCCTCTTATGGTGGGATTACAGGCATATAAGACCATTCCCAGCTTGTAGTTTTAATTCATTTATTTCTTCTGAGGAATGACTCAAACCAAACACATTGCATAGAGATATAGGCCATCCAAGAACAGAAGATTATAACTAAAAACTATGGCCAGTTTTTGTGTTTATTTCATAAGCCTTTCAAGGTGCATTCACTTAGCAGCATGGGTCTTCATTTCATTCCTTTTCATGACTTCATAATTTTTCACCATAAAAATTTATCATAGTTTGTTTATTCCATTTATCAGTTGATAGAAATTTCAATCTTTTAGTCATTGTGAGTATTGCTCGCACTTGGGCAATTTTATTTGAATATTTGTTCTCAGTGCTTTTATTCATGTACCCAAAGTAGCATTTTTCTGGGCTATATAGTAATGCTATGCAAACATGTTGTTTTCTGTATTTTTTTATATTCATGATTCTAGTTACATGACCTTTGATGGTTTCATTCACATGTCCATAAAAATAACTTCTTTTTTAACCTTGAATTTGTGTTTGTACCCAAAAGTCCAAAACTATAAAATGTTTCACGAATTTGCATGCCATCCTTGTGCAGGGACCATGCTCATCTTCTCTGTATTCATCCAATTTCAGTATATGTGCTGCTGGAGTGAGTACCATAATAACAACTTCTAAGCATCATTTGGAGTGCTGCTATTTGTGCATCCCTTTTTTTTTCTTTTGGAGAAATGTCTAATAAATGTTTTTATCTTTTTCAAACTGAATTTGTTTACTGTGGAGTTGTAAACATTTTTTTGTGTGTTTTCTGGATATGATTTACGAACATTTTCTCTCACTGTAAGGGTTTTATTTTTATTTTGTTCATCTGTCAGAAATGCTATGTTTCCTTGATGAATACCACTACAAAATGTCTTCTTTAATCTCCAGGAAGCATTGTGTGTGTTTTTGTTTTATATGGCTATAGCTGCTCTAGTTTTCTCTTGGCTGCTATTTTGATGTTATAGCCATTTGAGTACTATTTTGATGATACAGACTTTTCCATTTTTTTTTTTTTGTTTTGTTTTCAGACTAGTTACATTTAGGAATCTTAATGCACCATTGTGAAGAATATGTAGCTAAAGCATTACTTTAAATCCATTATTTCCATCCCTAATTCTGATTGATTGTTAAGTTTAATTAACTTAAATTACTGTGAATAATGATAAGGTAAGATTGGTATCTTTAATTTTCCAACTGAAAAGTGTATCTTTGCTATTTTTGTCCTTTTCCTCCAAAGATGTTTTCTTAAGAACATTTAGCGTTACACTGTACAAACGGGTGGATACTTATAAGCCATGTTAGTGTTCGTCCTGACCGTGCCTAATCGCTGGCATTTGAAGGCATGGAACACCTCTTGAACCTTGTTTTATATAAAAGAAGCTGGTAGCGTTGACACACTGTACTCATCAATAGATACAGAGAGATAAATGCAGAGGTGGAGAAATTACTTAAAGAAAGGCTGTGATTGATTTTTCTCTTAAGAAATGCTTAAACATCTTAATGCTTTCACTCTGCGGGTAACTGCAGCAGGTGATACTATGCTTTTATCACTTTTATGAGAAATCATCCGAAGGCAGGAGGCAGTGGTGTGGATGCTGCTGTGAACTCCTGACCTTCTCCACATCAGCTCCCACACAGCAGCCCTCTCTTCTGCGAGGTATTCTGCGCACAGCGGAAGAAATTGCTCCCTGGCAAACACTGAGCTGCTCAGCCGATAACTGAAAATTTTAGCTGTCACAAGATGTGTACAGGACCAGCTTGTCTCTAACCTGTTGTATAGATATCCCTGATGCCTTTGTCCAAAAGGGACATTACAGCTTCAGAGTGAAATGTTTTGACATTTACATCTGATGTTTTGCAATCATCTAAATGGAAAAACACGTGTGGAAGATGGTACTGCCTTTAGCATTGCGTTTGATGCCTCTCTCAAGGATATAATTTTTTGGGGGGCATGCTTACTGTCTTATTTCTTTGTTTAATTTTAATTTTTATTAATTACAGTTTATTCAGTTTTTATCCCCCCTGTAGCTCTCTCCCTCCTCCCCTCCCAATCCTCCCCTGCCTCCCCTTCTCCACTCATACCCTTTCTGTCCACTGATAGGGGAGGTCTTCCTCCCCTTCCTTCTGATCCTGGTCTATCAGGTCTCATCAGGAGTGGCTGCATTGTCCTCTTCTGTGGCCTGGTAAGGCTGCTCCCCCCTCAGGGGGAGGTGATCAAAGAGCAGGCCAATCAGTTCATGTCAGAGACAGTCCCTCTTCCCATTACTATGGAATCCACTTGGACACTGAACTGCCATGGGCTACATCTGTGCAGGGGTTCTAGGTTGTCTCCATGAATGGTCCTTGGTTGGAGTATCAGTCTCAGAAAAGACCCCTGTGCCAAGACTTTTTGGTTCTGTTGCTCTCCTTGTGGAGCTCCTGTCCTCTCCAGATCTTACTATTTCCCACTTCTTTCCTAAGATTCCCTGCACTCTGCCCAAAGTTTGGCTATAAGTCTCAGCATCTGCTTTGATACCCTGCTGGATAGAGCCTTTCAGAGGCCCTCTGTGGCTGGCTCCTGTCCTGTTCCCTGTTTTCTTCTTCTGATGTCCATCCTCTTTGCCTTTCTGAATGGGTATTGAGCATTTTAGCCAGAGCCCTCCTTCTTGATTAGTTTCTTCAGGTGTACAGGTTTTAGTAGGTTTATCCTATATTATATGTCTAATATTCACTTGTGAGTGAGTATACCCTGTGTGTCTTTCATGCAACTTCATATAGAACAACAAGAAACCCAGAATTGCTAAAACAATTCTCTACATTAAAAGATCTTCTTGAGGTATCTCCATCCCTGATTTTAAGCTGTACTATAGAGCAACAATACTGAAAACTGCATGGTACTGGCATAGAAACCAACTAGTGGATCAATGGAATCGAATAGAAGACCCTGACATAAACCCACACACTTATGGACACCTGATCTTTGACAAAGATGCCAAAATCATTCAATGGAAAAAAGAGCATCTTCAATAAATGGTGCTGGTCTAACTGGATGTCTACATGTAAAAAATGCAAATATATTCATACTTATCACCCTGCACAAAACTAAAGTCCAGGTGGATCAAAGACCTCAATATAAAACCAGACACACTAAACCTGTTAGAAGAAAAAGTGAGGAAGAGCCTTGAACTCATTGGCACAGGAGACAACTTGCTGAACAGACCACCAACAGCACAGGCTCTAAGGTCAACAATCAAAAAATAGGACCTCATGAAACTGAAAAACTTCTGTAAAGCAAGGGACACTGTTTTCAGAACAAAACGACAGCCTACAGATTGGGAAAGGATTTTCACCAACCCTATATCTGACCCAGAGCTAATATCCAGAATAAATAACAAACTCAAGAAGTCTCAAGGATATTTTTCAACTGAATTCAGTGGACTTTGGGATTTAGCTTTATAACCTCTGAATTTATTTTCTTTATAATCCAAAAATCTGCATCAGGTTTTTTCTCATTGGGGATGTTGTGAAGGTTGCTTTTTTTTTTTTTTTTTTTTTAATCGACTTGGCATAAAGTAGAGTCACCTGGTAAGAGCGAGCTCGGCTAAGAAATTACCTCTGCCGGATTATTCCATAAGCACATCTCTGGAAATTTTTTAATTTAGTAACTGGCATGGGAGGGCCCAGCAAATTGCAGGAGGTGCTTTCCCTGAGAAGGTGGCCATGGATTGAATACGAAAACCGTCTGGGCCAACGATGAGGCAGAAACCAGCAAGTGGCACCCCCTTGGTCCCCTCAGTTTATGCCTCCAGGTTCCTGCCCCGAGCTCCCGCCCTGGCTTCTTTTCAATGAACTGTAATTTGTAAGCTGAAACAAACCGCAGAGGTAGATGCTGATCCACCCAGGTCTGCCCACGTCTGCCAGCTTGCCTCTCTGCCACAAAGCTTCCACAATGAGCTTAAAGTTCTGCCACTTGCTGGGGCCACATACTTACATACATGAACCTGTAAGGGGCATTTCATACTCAAATCATAACAGATTCCATCAAGACACATTAAGTACTATGATAGTGGAAATAGGAAACCCTCAGCTTTTGCTGGGTACATTAAGAATTTGTCTGATTTGAAATTCAAGCTTTAGAATTGCGATGCCATGCAAAATTTAAAGTACTTTTATATTAACCTTTTGCAACATAAAAGTGAATGTCCTGGATGAAGGGCTCTCAGGGCCTAATGGGTTAGAGGTGAACGAAGGCCAGAGGACAAGCACATTGCCCCTCGAGAGGCGAAGGGCAACACCAGCAGTCCAGTCAGCACGATATGCCATTATCAGAGCAAATGGCTTCAAATAACACTCACAGGAGATGGCTACTTAAATGTAAAACCAGGCATTTAGCTTTATTTCAAATGCTTAATTGTTTTCTTTTAGACTTCAGTCAAGTTGGGTAACATTATGTAATTCTAACACAATTAACAAATACTACTGAGAAAATATTCTAGAAAAAAAGCGGGTTTATTGTTTGATAGTTTAACTTAATTAATGACATCATAAATTCATAGGAAGATGTCCTGGGTGCAGCGATGATTTTTTTCTTACATTCCACCCTCCTCCCGCAACTTCATCATCTAATGCTTTGTGTGGTAAGGATAAAACTTTCCAAACATATTGGTACATGATTTAATAAGGGGGGAAATACTACAAAATTAATAATAATAAGAATAATGTATTAGTTATTGCTACAAAGATTATTCCTGTATCTTGCTTTCATTTTTAAGGATCTGTTCATAAACTATTACCGTCTTTAGCTCTTCTGACTCTTTTCTACGATGAAAGCATCCAGGGCGATTTCAATGCTTCAGTTATCAGTGTTCCTTCCCATCAGTCAAGCTCATGGATCTTGTGTAAGTAGCTTAAGCCGAGCAATGAGCAGAAATAGAATCTTGGCTTTTTTTTTTTTTTTTTTTTTTTAATGTTTGACATTTTCCTAACTGCATTCTTGTTTTGGTTTAAAGTTAGATGAGTCATGAAGGACTCCTTTCTCCTTTAGCGAGTTATAAGAAAGAGAAAGACATGAGTTTTGGATGGGGGCCATATTTGGGATATGAGGGAGTTGTAGTGGGAATTGTATACATATGTAAAATTCTAAGCAATACAGAAAAAATTATACTCCTCATATGTTTCTTCTTCTGGTCCAGCATGTATTCTCTTTTAATTAATTAATTAATTAATTGATTAATTAATTAATTAAGTGTGCATGCAGGTCGTAGCTCCCCCCCCCCGCTCCTCCCAGTCTCACCCTCCCTCCGCCATTTTCCCTCTCCTATTCCTCAGAAAAGGGGAGCCTCCTGCCTACCTACCTCAGCTCATCAAGTTGTGTGATGACTGAGTTTGTCCTCTTCCTCTGTGTCCTGGTAAGGCAGTCTCCTCAGAAGAAAGAGATGTGAGACTCACAACCAAACATTGTGTGAAGTATAGGGAGTCTAGTGGAAAAGTGGGGGGAAGGATAAAAGGGCCCAGAGGTGACAAGAGCCCCATAAGAGGACCAACAGAGCCAACTAGCCAGGGGCCAGAGGGGTCTATGGAGTCTGAAGCACCAACCAAAGACCACGCACAGACTGGACCTAGGTCCTCTAGTTTATGTG